GATAGATAGATAGATAGATAGATAGATAGATAGATAGATAGATAGATAGATCTTCTTTCGGCTGTTCCCTTCTTCAGGGGTCACCACAGTGAACTATCTCACATGACGACGGCACTTGTTTTTACGCCGGATGTCCTTCCTGACACGACCACCGAGCTACCACAGCCCTCTGTGTGCAGCAGAGAGCTGCTATCTAGGGCACCCGGGGGAGCAGATGTTGGGGGTTTAGGGCCTTGCTCAAGGGCCCAGAGTGGGGCAAATGAGGATGGAGGCAGGTGTGGGTGTTTCACCTTTCCCAACCACATTTTGATGTTGTCGGTCCAGGGAGTTGAGATTGCGACCTTCTGATCACAGGCCCACCTTCTCTAACCTCTGCGCCACCGCTCCCCTCTGATAGATACTTTATTAATCTCAGTAGGAAACTGAACTGTTGCAATATCAGAAACAAGTGCAGTTATTGGTATTTGTTGCAGTCTAGACAGGGAAGAAATGGACACCAGGAATCTGCAGGAGGCCCAGGAAAGACGTTAGTGGACCCTCAGAAAAATGGGGCTCCCATAGAAACTCTTCACAACTCCCATCAGTGAGAATATTTCCTGAGCTGTGGATGAACAGTGTGGTTCTCCAGCTGTCCCTTAGAGGAGAAGAAAGACTTGCAGCTTATCGCCAAGACTTTACAAAAGATGTCGTCTTTCCACCATCCTCAGAAAATATCTATTCTGTCCGGCTGAACAGCAGAGCTGAAAATATCATGTATCTTTGTTTAAATTATATTTAAATCCTTGTACATTTTCTGTCATCTCCATAAGATTTGCCTGGATAAAAATAGGTTAACAAATAAATAATTCAAATATATATGCTGCTATAAAGCAGACTGCAAACAAAGTGGGTTTATTTGTGGAGAAATGTGCAAAGACTTTTATTTTCTTATCTTGGTACACTGGCCATTTCTCATGGAAACTGAATTTTGCTCTTTGTGCCATTTGGAAAATCCTCTTGCCATAAATAAATAAATAAATAATTTACATTCACCCAAGCTGCGGTAAAGAAACTATTCCTTTGATAGGCTGAAGGCACATGAAACAAAAAATGTACTCCTTCTTTGCAGCATAATGTAGTGATATCTAGTGAGGTTGTAAAGACGTGCTGTTTGTCCAGCGGTGCAGCCCATACCTGCCTTCTCGTCACTTGCTGGACAGTTTTTTCCACTTCTGATGGTACTCTGGCAACGTGAGGCAAAGAGTTCATCAGCAGGCGGTCACCTCGAGTACTCGAGCTGTTAACAGTTACAGATTCTGCTACTCCACTCAGAATCCACTTGGAATAGACAGAAATCCAAAATAGCTTTTGAGTAGCCATTCTATTATACTTTGCTGCCAGGTCAAGGGCATCACCACAAGCGTGACCAAACAGTTACTTAACTTCCTCCAATAATAAGTCATTATTCCTTCCTTCTTTACCTTTTGTTGTGTTATTTTTAGTCTTCTGTAAAATGATGCTTTAGAACCCTCACCACCCCTAGCTCCCAAGGCCGTGATTTAATGTATGTATGTGTTACACTTCTTAAGTCATGTTCAGTTATTTAAAAGCAATTATGAGCATAATAATAATATGCAGAAGTTATGCAATGATGGGGAGACTGATCTCTTTAATAGAGCGGATCTCGCTAATGTGACCAATAATTAAAGAAATTCAGTGTGAGATCATGAATGGCATCTCCATGAATCTCTTCAGACAGCTGTGGAACAGCTCTTCCCTCGAGCACTCTTGTCCTGAGCTCTAATTAGTGAACCCCGTGGAAGAACTTCCTAACCTTCATTTGTTATCTGAAGTTGGTCTCCATCTATCAGGGAGCTGAGATTTATGGAAAACAAACGAATAAACTAATACGAGAAGAAGGAGACCTTGGAATTGATGCAACCAGCTCTAGGCTGTTTTTTTAATTTTTTAATTTTTTTTACCTTTTCTGTCTATCATTATTATTTTTTTTATTAACCTTTATTTAACCAGACAAATCCCATTGAGATCACAGATCTCTTTTGCAAGGCCTGGGCCTGAAGGCAGACTAACATGCATGTTTTTGATCTGTGGGAGTACCCGAAGAAAACCCACGCAAGCACGAGAAGTACATGCAAACTCCACACAGAGAGACCCCAGGTCCAACCAGAGATTGAACCCAGGACCTTCTTTTTGTGAGGCAACAGTGCTAACCACTGAACCGTCGCGCTGTTACAATCCGGTCCAAATTTAAAACAAATTTAAAAGAATAATTCCCGTACAGAGCAATTTTCTTTTATTTGTGCAGTCATAAGAGGCAGAAAATAATAGCAATTAAACTTTTTTTTTTTGTAAAACTGTATGATTTTTATACATTTTATGCATAAATCACAGGCACATAATGCTGCCACTGGAAAATGCTGCACGCTAAACCGTCACTTAATTATTTATTTAGCTTTAGGAAAATATGTCAATAAAAAGGCATCATTGTTTTCTGGCTTCTAGAAGATACACAGTGTATCTTCTGGAGTGCATTTGTGGTTATTGAATGGTTTAACCTTCATGTTGCATCAGGCCTTCTTCTCTGAACTGATTATTTATTTATTAGCCTTTGAGGTGAAGAGGCACTTGAATTGAGATTTATGGCACATGTGGATGAACATTTGGAGCAAAAAAAACTCTCCCCTCTGTCTAGTTGCTTTCTCTGCCTGTTCATCCTCAATGTTCCTCCCTACCAGGAACTCCCCTCTAAAATAACAACCCATGCCTCCAACTAATCTGATTCTCTGCAGAGCTCACAGACTCCTCTTATATCCGTCAGTGGGTTGGGAAGAACTCCACACTTCCAAGTTGGCACCACCCTAATTTGTGTCACATAGAATAAAAAAAAAGAGGTGGATGTTGTGAGTACATGTGAATTTGTGTCTGCCGATTTGCATGTGGATTATGACGCTGCCAGGACAAGACATCTTTTTACTGAGCAGACACAGACATCCGGTGTGAGATGGTATTTACCTCACACAGCAACAATGAATAAGAGTCACTTTCAGATTTCTGCCTCGAGCATAAAATTAGAAAACAATAAGAGCACAATGAGTCTGTCACCAACAAGCTCTGACCACCTGGGTGAACTTTCTGCAAATGTCTCTCCACCTAGAACTGGGATCTGCAACCTGTGGCTCTTTGGTCCCTGTGCAGAGGCTTTTTCAAGCTTTGACCAAAACTGACATAAAACAATTTTATTGTTTGTTATACCAACAACAACCAAAGTTAGTTTCAACAGTTTTCATATTTCAGTTTTTTTCCCCCTTTGGTCATTTCTTTTGCAAATATCTGAATATTAGAACTAATACAAGAAGTAAAACATACTCACTTTAACTTTATGCTTTATTTCTATATTTAATAATTTTGTCCACAATAAAAAAAAAAAAACAACTCACAGGTCTGCATAGTTCATAGTTTGTTTTTTAATAATTGGTAAAAAAAAAATAAAAAAAAAAATATATATATATATATATATATATATTTATTTTTCCTTGTTTTACAAGATGGTTTTTCATTTGTTTTAAATTGTAAAAATATCACTGAATATTAAAAATCATTAGATATTTTTAGCATTATAACATGTGGCCCCTACTGGCCACAAACCCCCCCTCCAACAAACTTAAAGCGGCCCATGAGCCACCAGTTGATAACCACAGTTGTAGTGTCTCTGGACACGTTCAATTTAGTGAACGAAGGTGCAAAAATGGCTTTTGCAGAGCCCTAACCTAGAACATTAAATCTGCATCTCTAGACGGTAAAGAAATGCTTAAGGTTCAACATGAACCATCAGCAACAAACCCACAGGGAGTGCATCCTGTTACAAGATCACAGCCTTCAATTTAGTCAAAAACCGCACATTGTGATGGCTAAAGGTATTCTAAATTAACTGGAAAATAATGCTGCATTTCTTTTACCTCTCACTGTCAGACTGTGTAATAGGGATGACTCTCAGTTACTACCACACAAAGCTTTCTCTTAATATATGTACAAATATCTAAGTTATAACTATATTTGTGTTTAGCTATTAGTGCCATCTTGCATGGGGTTTATGTTAGATGTTAAGCAGTTGCTGATTTTGATCAAATAATCACTTTTTGAGAATTTTATAAAATCTGTTCAGTGGTTCGGTTCAAAAGATAAGTTAATGCCAAATTTTTTGACTAAAGACCTCGAGATCTGTTAGAGTTCAGGATATGTGTTGGGGATCAGTTCAGCTACTACCACACCAATTTATAGTTCAATATTTGTGACGTTAACAGAGTTAGAGCCATTTTTGTGTTTGCTTAAATCGATTAACTGTGGCATGAGCCGAGTTGACTTCAAAGGATAACCAGTTGTAGATATATGTATATGTATATATATATATATATATATATATATATATATATACACACATATATATATATATATATATA